TTCGATTCTTTTAGTATCGATCGATAGTATGTTATATCTATTATGTACTCGATATGTAACTTTCACGCGACACATTCTTACTGCATACATTCATTCATACATATGCATAGGTATTATACTTGAGTACTGTCGAAAGTACTACCAACTGCATACAAAGTAAGTAGACAGTTATATAACGAAAAGTTGGTAGATGTGCCAATCGTCAGACAAACTGTCTCTCTTTCTTTCTTTCTATTTCTATTTTATTTATGTGTGTATGTGTGTGTGTATGTATGTGTGTGTGTGTGTACCTCTTATACTCTTGACTATAAATTTGCATATCCTTTTCTGGTATATTCCGAAGGACTACAAATTAACAAATCTGCCAAGTGTACATTAAATTTTCTATAAAAAGAACCAACATAATATTAATGTCAGAGAGTGTAATGTAAAAAAAAAAAAAAGATTAAAAAAATTTATCCGCCTTTCATCTTCATCACGTCAAGTAGAAGATAGAGATACAACTTTGTGTTCTTACAACTTTATGTTCTTTCCTCTCTCTCTCTCTCTCTCTCTCTCTCTCTCTTTCTTTTTTATATGTAGATACTTTGTGAGTATAAATGTAAACATACGCTGTTAGTTGGAACATCGTCGAGTATACATTTACACGATTTGCTAAAGAATCTCTCGTTTCTCTCTCTCTCTCTCTCTCTCTCTCTGTCTCTCTCGTATACTTTTACACTTCTTTCATAAATCTAAATATGTAAATCCTAGTGTAAACGTAAGAAGTTGCGTCGCTAAAATAATCTTACGTTTAAACTGCGACAATATGCACTAAGAGATATGTGATAAAATTTAGGAAGACTTTTTTTTATAATAGTTTGACTGACGTAACACAAATTTAAATTAAATTAAAATTAAGTAATCGTGAATATTAAAAAAAAGAAAGAAAAAAAAATGAAAAAAAGAGAAGGGTTTGAAAGTAATTATTGATAAATTGAAATCTACCGTGGTGGTGGTGGATGGTGATCCATTGATGATGATAATGATGATGATGATGATGATGAAGAGATTATTATTGAACATTGAACACATTCGCGAATGATTTTCATGTAAAAATAACGAACACAATATTCCACTAGGAGAAAACACGAAATATTCTCAATTTCAAAATACAATGTGTATACGCGTTTACTTCGTTAAACATACTAGATTACATTAGTAATGTTTATAAATACTAACGACATTTGTCTCGAGTTCGAATATTACAATATATTAATGCCAAGGAAATAATTTTAATTTAAATCTCATCATAATTCTCACCGTACAAAGTGCGTAAGAATAAACTCGTTGTGTACACGTATGTATGTATGTATATATGTATTATTATTATTAACTGGCATTAGGAAATCGAAAATTCATTGCCGCAAATACCAAATAATCCCGGGTCCATTTTTCCCGTCCCTGAGCACGATCTTCATAATCCTATTTTTTTTTCAGGTCCCAAAATAATATTATCCTCCCATCTTGGTCTACCTAATGGTGTCTTTTCCCGTTTGATATACCGACCAATATTTTGTGCTACGTTCGATCATCCCCCATGCACCACCGCGCATCACGTGACCAGCCAGCCCATCTTAATCAATGTGATTTTACGACCTTGATAATGTCCGGTTTGTTTTTACAATCGATGTACTTTCAAACGTGAAATGGAATTTTCTTCGTTCAAGAGATCAACAATTTGTTGGGGTGTCAAACACCCTTCCCCCCCCCCGTGTGCACTTTAAAGATTACAAATTCTACCGGTGCTATCTCAAAGAGTTCTAAACTAATGCAAATATATTTCTAATTCTATTTAATTTTCATCGATTTCTCTTACGACGACAATTTGGATTTATTCTATACGAGTTTGACCTACAATTGAAAACGTAAAGAAAAAAAAAAAAAAAAAGAAAAGATTAACGTAAGAACTATAAATAACTATATACGCGTGATAAAATATATATATATCTCTAATTGAACGAATTTATTTTTAACGATAAAACTTTCCGATCGGTCGTAATCCATCAATCCATCATCGATGTAATCTAAAAGGAACAAAAAAAAAAGAAAAAGAAAATCTATAAGAAAAATCATATTTGTTTGTGTAAATCGTTTAGAAGGAAAAAATAATCAAACTATAATAATTGATGGAAATTGTCTCTCTCTCTCTCACTCTCTTGTTTCGAATCAAACAACTATACAACAGTGTATCTATAACAAACTATAATTAATGGAAATTGTCTTGTTTTCATTCTCGATTTCTAACCTCGATGGGATGAACGTATTTATGTTCTAAGTCCTATTAAACACAATTTTCATCGACGACGACGACAACGACGTAGAAGAAGAAGAAGAAGATGATGAGGAGGATGATGATGAAGATGAAGATGTGACGAGGGGAATACCGTTATTCTGGTTTAGAAGGAAGGTACTTCAAATTGTGTAAAAGAATATTGAAATTTAACTCTCTCGTACCGTTAGAGTACACTTATTAACTTCCTCTGCTATATAATTTGATAATAATTTTATTACAAAAAAAAAAAAAAGAAATATTGGGTTGTTCGAAAAGTGATTTTGTGTTTTTTTGTGTAAAAATGAAGATAATTTTTGTTCCTAGGTTAAACCTAGGCCCATGAAGTTGACTTAAATAATTGACCTTAGATAAATTTACACCTCTCATCGATCTTTTGGTACTGGTTTTGGTATTTGTTGGTTTGTATCAATTAATGAACTTTATTGTGTCAGGAAAAAACGAAATTACTTTTCCGAACAATCCCATAATATATATGCAAAAATAAAAAAAATAAAACAGATGTGTGCAGATCACACACAGTATAAGAAATGAAACCTTCAAAGAAAAGCAAGCTACAAAATAATTGAATTGTAATACTAGTGCCATCTATTGAAAGAACTTTACAGAACCTAGATAATCTCTAAATAAAAATCTTTAAATTAGTAATAAAAAAAAATACATAAAAATAGATACAAATTGTGCTATGTGCTAAGTTGGAAAAAAATCACTAAGTGAAATAAAAATTAATTTTATTAAAATAAGTTTGAGTAATTTTGAAATGATTAGTGGACAAACATATTGTGTGACACTGAGTTTTGATCTTATAGAATTTTATTAATTAATTAATGTTTCATCGGTTTTACGGTTTCTTCCGTTTCACGATTTTCAAATGACCCTGATTCTAAAGAAATGTTCGCATCAAAAAAATCAAATAAAAATGATAAAAATTCAAGATCAAACACACAACATTTAAATATATATTTCATGTAAAAATAAATAAACAAAAATATTTTCTAAGATCAAAATACAATTTGATAATAACTTTTAAACGAAACGAAACGAAAAAACAAAAAAACAAAAAATAAGAATGAAAAACAGCCTTGGTAACATAAAACGAATTCGCAAAGCAACGATGATCGTAGACGTAAACGTTCAAAGATTTATATTCGTGTGGTGAGATCCTAAAAATGAACTGGTCGGATCTTCGACGAGGATGGCAAGGATGAAACCATCTGTACTGTACTGTTGAAGGCTACTGGGTCAAATGATTATTTATGATCTCTTTCTCTCTCATAAGAAAAGAGAGAGAGAGAGAGAAAGAGAGAGACTTGTAACGTACTTTATTCTCTCAAGTGTATGTATGTATGTATGTATGTATGTATGTATGTATGTATGTATGTATGTATGTGTATGTGTATGACAATAAAGGAAGAAACGAGAATTGAAAGGCCTTGAAAAAAAAATATTCGAATCGTTCATAATAATTTTTTATGTTGTTTCTAATAAGTCTCATTAAAATTTCAACATATTAACAACATATTTTTAAACATAACATCAAAGAAATCATATAACGATTCGAATAAATTTACTATACACTTAAATGATACCTAACTTCAAGTTAATAACCCCCCCATGACACGTTTTATACTAAGAAAGTCATGGTGTTGTTTCATCTCAAGTGAAACATTTATATTACACGTTATGTCGCCATCTTTACGCTTGCTTAGCATTGCATTTTAATTCTATAATGAAATATGTAAATAAAAGTGCACACATATATGATAAAAAAAAAGAAATATTTCGAACAAAATTTAATCATTCAATGTACCACATGTGTGATATTTAATTTACAAAATATTAATTCAAATAAATTGATTAGAAAATAATGTTTAATTAATTCTACGCGATCTATTGAAAATAATAATAATAAATAAATAAATATATAAATGTAATGAAATATTTCGAATGAACAAAAAATGTAATATGTGATATTGTTTAACTAAAAATATCGTTAATATCACACAATTATGTACCCAGCTCTATGTACAGGTAACTAAGTTTACCTGTTATAAGATTTACTATGTAATAACTTTCGTTATTATTATATAAATTATTTTTTCTTGTCTGCTATAAATAAATAAATAAATAAATAAATAAATAAATAAATAAATGAATAAAAAATATATTAATTTTATAAGTAAAAATAATCAAATGTGTCACGAGGTATAAATCCATGGTAATTCCTGTGTTACGCAAGATGTTCGATCGACTGAGGGGTTGGAGGGGTTGAAAAGGAAAGGATGTGTGTAACCACCCCTTTAAATTGAAAATAATTTCAAACGTTTTTTCATATATTCATTTTCTAAATAAAAATAATCAAATGTGTCATGGGATATAAACCCATGGTAATTCCTGTTACGCAAGATGTTCGATCGACTGAGGGGTTGGAGGGGTTGAAAAGGAAAGGATGTGTGTAACCACCCCTTTAAACTTGAAATAATTTCAAAGGTTTTTTTTTTTTTTTACATACCGTTTCCCCTTTCTATAAAAGCTTTTATATATAGAAAAAAAAAAAAGAAAAGAAAAGAAAGGAAGAAATGAAATGAAAAGAATATAGAAAACAGGTTAGACCATTTTTTTTAAATTAGAAAAAAAAATAAAAAAACTTGTAAAAAAGATTACTTACGTATTTCTTGACGTTAAAGTGCAGATCGTTGCAGCCAAAGGGCCCGTTTAATGGACAAGGAGGGTTGGATGATGGTTTCAAAAAATGTATTGATATTTTCTTCTTCTTCTTTTTGCACTTCTTTCTTCAATGCACTCACGAACTCGCGTAATTTTTATTTTTCTGTCGAATTTTGTTAAAAACCCCCAGCTCTGATGACAACGTCGACGATCAATTATTTAAAATATTGTTTAAAGGAAGTATGTCTTAAATAATGACAATAATTCTTTTAGAAAAAGATTGACAATTGTTTGATTTTTTCGCTCTCTCTCTCGAAGAAGAAGAAGAAGAAGAATAATAATATTTTGTTTTTGTATTTTATACACGATAAATTATTTTATTATATTTTATTATTATTTTTATTATATTTTTGTTCTAGACTTTTCTTTTTCCCTTTCGTATAAAAATAATGTTTCTAATAATTTTAAGAAAGGATTTGACAGATTAATTAGATCAATGATCGTATCATTTATTATTATTATTATTGATATTATTGTTTTCTCATAGTCGTACGAATTTTACGTATCGACGACGGACTGATACGACGACCTCGACGTTTTTTTTTATTAAGAACAGGTTCAGCATTACGAGTAATACTCGTACCTTTTGAAAAAAAAAAAGAAAAATTTATACACGCTGTTAATCTTTGAAAGGGGATTTTGTTTGATGAAAATTTGAAGAGTTTTTATTTAATATTAATATATAGGTGAGATGTATGCGTGTATTTTATGTTAAATAATCGCGAGTACCGAAATATAAGATGGCAATATTCTTCGCGGGAATGCGAACCTCACCGCGTTCGCTTTACGTCTGGTGTGACACTCGAAACGAGTTTTATCTCGACACGCTACTTCTATGCTTGATCCCCCCCCATCACTACCGTCACACCGTCACCACTACCACCACCAGTCACCACTACTACCACCACTACCACCACTACCAGCAACACCACCCGTAGCAGCAGCAGCAGCAGCACACGCACCGCTCTCCTACAATCGTACCAGTTCGCGAGGAGTTTCCTCTAGCAGTGAATGCTCACCGCGAGATATCGAACCGGCGTGGGTAGTGCGCATGCTCCACCCGGCAACCTCGTGCGTTTCACGTGATTGCTCTCTCTCGACCAATCAAATCACTCCTATATCCACGTGCTTCTTGCATTCTTACTACTTTGCTCTACTCTTCTTCTCTACTCAAATGTTCTCTCTGCTGCAGTTGCTGCTGCTGCTGCTACTGCTGCTAGCTACTGCTGTTACTGTTGGCAACAGAAATGATTTCAAAAATATATCACGACATTTACCACCTAATGCTTATTTTTTCAAAATTATATGATAAACAAAAAAGAATACAAAAATAAATTATACAACGATGTATTTTTATATATGCATTACTTGGGTATGATTTTTTCTTTTTTTATTTATTTTTTATTTAACTATAGGTGTTATTATTTTTTTTTTTTTAATTTTGTTTCTTTAGATAAGACGCCTTAGGACACACCTGACTATTTCTCCCGCCAATTTATTTCTCGCACTCTAACGTATATTTATGTAAATAATATTTGTTTTTTTTTTCTTTCTTTGTAAAAATATGTCGCGTGTTAAGTAATTACTATCCCCCTTATGGTAATAATATAAACACACGTTTATGTTACTTAGAAGAAAATGCATCTTACACGAGTCCGTTGAGGGGATATCAATTACGTGCGCCCTTATCTCGTAAGTTTAAAAATGTCGGTCATACTTGCATCATATTTTGTATATCTGTCCCTATGTATATACATATATATGAGTGTACGTATTTATATACGCAGTATGATTTTGATTAAATCGTACCACTCTTTATTCAAATATTATTATATTCTTCGTAATGTAACAACGAAGATTATTTTGCATTTTATGAACGACATATCGATAATCCGGTATTTACCGAATACATTGACAAGATATACTTGTATGCATATGCATAAATATATATATATATGTATTGAACTGTCTGTCAAGTACTGGCTTTGCATACACTTTTCTCAACTATACAGCAAAAGTCGATCCTCTTGCAAAAGTCAATCCGGTTCGACGACCATTATCAAAGTTCGCGATTCCTTTTGACTTTCTTACTAAAATGTATGTTCCACTATATTAATAACTAATCTTTAGACTTTTATATAATCACATAAATTGTTGTTAATCTCTCAACATGCAATGGGTAAAAATAAAGAAAGAGGGAAACAAAAGTAAATGAAAATCGTCCAATCGTATTACAGAATTATTGCGTATGGCGCAATATTTATGAAGAAGTATTTTCTTCGTATCGTTGGATTTACGATGCAAAAGTTGTNTAAAATGTATGTTCCACTATATTAATAACTAATCTTTAGACTTTTATATAATCACATAAATTGTTGTTAATCTCTCAACATGCAATGGGTAAAAAAAAAAAAAAAAACCATTTGAGAATCGTCCAATCGTATTACAGAATTATTGCGTATGGCGCAATATTTATGAAGAAGTATTTTCTTCGTATCGTTGGATTTACGATGCAAAAGTTGTGTGATATTTTTATCGAATAAAGCTCGATGATAAGGTTGAATTCTTAATTAGATAAATATCGTAACGCATGTTATTTTGCATGTTTCATTTGCAAAAAGCATGAAGACATTTTTAACCGTAGTATTTTAATACATCGATTCATTTAAGAGAATATTTACAGCAAAAGAATGATGATACTTCAATGAATATTACAGATGATATAATACGATACGATGATTAAAACGATATTGTCCTTGATCGTGACAATGTTATTTCATTGGTATTTATCAGGACTGATTTTCTAAGACAATTGCGATTTTCATGTATTCAATTTAAAAATGATATTACATTCCGCATTTTACATGGATTATTTTTTAATATGAAATTTTTGTGAAATAACATTTGTTAATTGTCCCTTAGCCAAAAATATTTGGACATTAGGTCCAAATTTTCAACTGGTAGCAATAAAATTGCACAAATGTGCATCTCGTAATAACATTTCCGTGATTCATTTGAAAGATGAAAATTTAATAATAATGATAATAATATTAGCTAAAATTAAAATATTATTTTTATACAGTAATAAAATAGATTTATTTATAGAATCAATTAAAAGAAAAAATCGCAATTATGTTTAGGAGAAGATCGTTCGAATAAATTAAAACGAGTAGAGATACAACTTCTTGGAAAAATTTCAATGAACAATGAAAAATTGAATGAATGAATGAAAATCTTATTATCTAAAATAGATACAAGACTATTGACGAGATTTATTTTACAGACAGGAAATAGCTTGCAAAAATGTGTTCTAGTGCGTAGGCGATGGCCTACTCAAAACAATTTTAACGATTGCCAAGTAACACGGCACGTTTTGATACAATCGGTGATTGAAAATGGTTTACAGATAGAAAATTATTTGATCATTTGTTTAATAAATTTTTTTTTGTTTTGTCTTCTAATAAAACAATTATCAAATTTTACATTCTTCTTTACCTACAACGCATATATATATATATATTTTTTTTTCCTATTAGAAAAATATGTTTTATTGTATGTGAATATAATTGTGTCACGAGAAAATAAAAAAAAAAAGAGGGAAATTATAAAATAACGTAATATCAAAGTTTTAGTTTATCTCGAAATTATTTTGATCAATTTCTAAATATTCACACAGGTTTCATTCATTTTATTTAAAAATATAATGTGTGTCAAATGTGAAACACTTCGAACTTGGAGAAAGCGATCTGCACAACTGTTTCTTTTTTTCTTTTTGTTTTTTTTTCTTTCATAGAATTTTTCTTTTTTACGTGAAAAACGATTAAACATATAAATTATTACTATTATTATTATTATTATTATTATTTAATTGGGTTGATTTGAATTATAAATGAAACATTCGCTAATGTTCACTCTTTATTTATAAATAATTATGTTTCACGAGAAACAAACGTGACAATTTTCTATAGAAATTTCATTCGACTTTTCACCTTGGATTCATTTTAAATCGTACATTTAACAAATGAAATTTCTATATATATATATATAGGGTGTTCGATAAGTTTTTCCGGCCAAATATGCACACTTGCCGAAAGAACAACACTGTTATTATGTTAAATGTTGATTTTCTTCATGATTTAATTTTATTTCTGCAATTGCATTTATTTAAATGCATTCCTACAACACCAGGATGATAATGTGACATAAGCATAATTAATAGGAAATTTAAAGGACAATTCCTGTTGTTATAAATAAATATGAACATTGATCATTTTTATATCATAAGTTTTTAATAAAAACGAAAAAAAAAAACGTTGTAAATGTGATTTATATTTGTATAATAATGTTTTACATATGGATTAATACTTTAACACCGTTTGGCCGAAAAAATCTCGGACACACCCTGATTACTTATTTATATATATATATCTATATACATTTGTAGAGAGAAATAATAAAAAAAATATCACCGTCACCTAAAAAAAGGAAGCTATCAAAAAAGATGGAACTAATTACAACAAAAATATGTTTGTTGCTCGACGTGTAATACATGTGTTGTTAATACGCATATACACAAACTTATTTTCTTTCCCCCTCCCCTCCCACCCTATGATATACAACGTTGAACTGTCTGTTCTTTTTTTTATTTTATATGGTGTTTTGTGTATAATATACTTTCACCAATTTTCAGACACTCTTCTTAAATATATACAGAAATAGTAGTAGCAGTAGTCAATAGTAGTAGTAGTAGTAGTAGTAGTGTAATAGTAATAGTAGTAGTAGTAGTAGTAATAGTATTACACACGAATAAACTTTCAATATGTTGTGTGTGTCGGTGAGATCAGAGGAAATTTTCAATGGCGGGAATTTCAAATCGTATTGAACACACAAAGAAGCTAACTTCGCGATCACAACCCATTCATTAACCAGTTAAACGTGTTTGACGACTATATACGTCATGGAGATGTGAGCAAATTTTCTGTCATGACGTATATATACGTCATGCGTAAAAGTTCGTTACAATTTGACGTTTGAATTGTCATTTTGTCGAATTTTGTTCGTTTATTATGTATAAATTAATAAATTATTAAACAAAATTGTTCATTTTCTAAAAATAAAGTCGGTCTTTTTGACTATTTAATATTTTAAACAGCGTTCATTTACTCTGTGTTTGACGACTATATCCGTCATCGCTTGATTATCGTAACACACACCAGAGCGCACTCTCTGCGCGACAGATCGCCCCACACACTTTTAACTGGTTGTTAAATG